ATCCAAATTATCAGGTTCTGCTATTAATAAATAAGCTGCTATCTTTTCCATAGCCTGCTTTAAAATATTCTTATAATATTTAATGTGGTAATTAGTTATTGGGGTTAACCTTATTCAGTAATCACTTAAACTTATAAGTACAAAAGTTATATACTCATTCTCTTCTTAAGTCAAGATGTTCACTTATACTTCTTTTTCAGGATAGCAAAATATTGTATAAATATATACAAAACTGGTATCTTGATCTGTCTCATTATTTCAAAAACAAATATTAGCTTTTTCCTTATACTAGCTTGCGAAATACCTGAAGATTATTTTAACTTTCTCTTATTACTCTAATTTTTGATGTCTGCAGCATAGTTAAAGTCTCAACCTACTCTACAAGATTCTTATTCTTTTTTTTAAAGAGTTTTACCTAAATCCAATTTGTATTTTGATTCAAGGCCTTATTTGTTAATTCTTAGCTATTTGATAAAAATCTTTTAAGTGTCTTCCAAATAACATGGCTTCTCACTATTCTTTTTCTAACTATTGTTACTCTAATTGAATTTCAAATTAATTTTGATTTTGTTAATTTTATAAGAAGATTAATTTTGAGAATTCTTAAATATTTTATTAGATTTTAGGTTAACTTTAAATCAGAGTAGTTATTTCAAATCTTACAGTTACTACCAAATATAATACTTAGAAATATATCTGATACTAACCAAACTACAGTCAAGCCTAGTTATATCAGCTTTTTTATTCAACGAGCAGTTGAATATATAACTTAGGTAGAGATATAACTAAGGCAAATTTAACAAATATAGAAGATTTTGCTAAATGGTAGAGATATAACCTAGGTTGAGATATACTTAGTGGAGATATAATTGAGGTTTGAACATATAACTTGCAAGAACACGAAATTTAATACAAACTATTGAAAGAGGTGCTTAAATTTGATAAGTAAAAAAATAAAACTTTGGTTATTGACGCTTAAACTATGCACGTTATATGACAAAACTCTTTGCTTAGACAAGAAATCTTCCTTGAAATAACCAAACAATCAACAATATTTACAATCCATAAGAATATATACACACAAGGTTTTTAGACAAAAATTTCTTAAAAGCAATTAGCATAACAACAAAGCAGTGTAATAATTCATTTATCATTTAGATGATTAATGAATAACACTTTTAGTGAATTTATTATATGAACAATTTTAATAAATTAGAGAATGCTTATTTTATCAATTAACAACTTGCTTTTTAGTGAAACGTAATATTTTTTATTTATAGAAAATATTACACAGAGATAAAATAATAAAAGTTTATAAAATTAATGAAATATAACCCATCTATTCTCATAAACCCCATTAGTTAAAGAAAGCGATTCAACCATATATCCTTGGCTAATAACTTTCTTTTGAATACAAACGAAGGTGCTGCGACTATATCATGTGGACCCGAATGATTAGACCGTAAGTTCACTTTTCCAGACTCATACTAGACAGCCTGCCTATTATGTATGCATTTTAAATTTTTTCACTTTACAATTTAACTCTCAGCGTGTACTAGACCGGGCTCTATTAAGAATGGTAGTTACACTTACACGCAGAGGATATACAATTTCATAACAGAAATTTTCAGACTAATAATCTATGTTCCTTGAAATTGTAAGCTTCAATTACTTAAATATCTCTTTTTTGCATAATTTGCTTTTTTATTGTTTTTATGCAACTGCAATATACTTTTGGAGACTACTGCACGTACGCTGCAAGTCTGAAACCATAATCGTAATTATCTAGCATGTACTATGATCAGAAGGGTCACTAGTTCGATCTGAATCGAAACCGTATTAAGTGTCATAGGAAAACTATCCTCTAACTTGCCAATTCAAGCTTGGAAAATTTGATCATCTCAATTTTTTTGCAAACAACTAGCTAATGAGAAACAGACTTTTTACTTAATGTCATATTTTTTAAAAAATACTCTAAACTGTCTAAAGAATAAATTCATACCAGTCAAATCTTTAAATTTCAAGGAACAAATATATTTAGATTTAAATATACATAAATATACAAGAGAATTACTATTTGTACCCAGAAGGTATGATACCCGGTATAAGAAAAAAATCAAAAATCATTAATATCTCAAAATTTTACTAAGAAAACCATATGTAGATACCTTAAGTAAAATTGTTCAGCACCTAATTTTAAATATAACCACACATGTTTCTAAATCTACCACTAACTTTAATATATATAATACAATATACAAACATTATGCCGAATATTATACCTTATGGGTAATGATAGTAAATTTCAAAATAAAAAATAATTATTATATTACCAAAACTTAAATTTGAATCTTTTATATAAACTTTTTACGAGCTTCTAATGCAAGTGCATTATTTGGATTAATGTCTAATGATTTATTTAAATCTGCTAGCGATTCTTCATATCTGTTCATCACGCGATAAGTTTCTCCACGCATTGCTAATGCGATTGCATCACTCGGATTAATTTCTAATGATTTATTTATATCTGCTAGTGATTCTTCGTATCTATTCATCATGCGATAAGTTACTCCACGGTTTGCTAATGCAAATACATAATTTGGATCAATTTCTAATGATTTATTTAAATCTGCTAGTGATTCTTCGTATCTATTCATCATATGATATGTTGTTCCACGGTCTGCTAATGCTTGTGCATTATTTGGATTAATTTCTAATGATTTGTTTAAATTTGCTAGTGATTCTTCGTATCTATTCATCATGTGATAAGTTACTCCACGATATGCTAATGCACATGCATCATTTGGATTAATTTCTAATGATTGGTTTAAATCTGCTAGTGATTCTTCGTATCTGTTCATCACGCGATAAATTTCTCCACGTATTGCTAATGAGATTGCATCACTCGGATTAATTTCTAATAATTTATTCAAATCTGCTAGTGATTCTTCGTATCTGCCCATTATGCCATAAATTTGTCCGCGATATCTTAATGCTTCTGCATCGTTTGGATAAATTTTTAATGATTTATTTAAATCTGCTAGTGATTCTTCGTATCTATTCATCATGGGATAAGCTTCTCCACGCTGTCTTAATGCAAATGCATCATTTGGGTCAATTTCTAATGATTTATTTAAATCTGCTAATGATTCTTCGTATCTGTTCATCAGGCGATAAGTTTTTCCACGCTCCTTTAATACAAATGCATGATTTGGATCAATTTCTAATGATTTATTTAAATCTGCTAGTGATTCTTCGTATCTATTCATCATGTAATAAGTTAATCCACGGCTTGCTAATGCAAATACATAATTTTGATCAGTTTCTAATGATTTATTTAAATCTGCTAGTGATTCTTCGTATCTATTCATCATGCGATAAGTTACTCCACGTATTGCTAAAAAGATTGCATCACTCGGATTAATTTCTAATAATTTATTCAAATCTGCTAGTGATTCTTCGTATCTGCTCATTATGCCATAAATTTGTCCGCGATATCTTAATGCTTCTGCATCGTTTGGATAAATTTTTAATGATTTATTTAAATCTGTTAGTGAATCTCTATAACTTTTTAATTTATAGTATTCTATTCCACGATTTCTTAATGCTTCTGCATTATTTGGATTAACTTCTAATAATTTATTTAATCCTACAAACAGATCATCCTTGCAATTGATTAAATTGTTGTTCTGTTAAGGGTAAATAAGTTATTATTAATAAAAAAATAAAGTTTAGAATTTTTGATTCTAATAATTAATTTTAAACATAATAAACCTATTAAATTTATATCTTGATTAATATTGCCAACATTATTTAGTTTAGATGATTTAAAATCCTCATGATCATCACTTGAAATTTCTATATTATCTTTTTCACTATGATAAACTGGAAACATTCGTATATCATTTAATTTATTACGGATTTCAACTATACTAGGACGTAAATTTGGATCACCGTTCCAAGCATCGCAATAAATATTCATAAAGTCAACCGGAGTTCCGTTAATAGGAGTTTCTCTTTTGCCGTAAATTACTTGTAAAGTTATTCCTGTTGGATCAGATATATCTTTAAAAGGAGACACACCACTTGATAATTCCCAAAAAAGTATGCCAAGACTATAGATATCAGAAGCTTTATCTCGTTTATATAAAAATGGATTTTGGAGATATTGTGGATCGGAAAATGCATATGTTCCTCCACAAATAGATCTTGTACTATTATCCAATGATTTAGATAATCCAAAATCCGTAATCATTAATCTACCATCATGCACTAATATATTCTTGTCATGCTGCAACAATAATTAATAAGCATATAATAAATAGCGAGAAATAAATTAAACAGAAAAATTATCTTACAAGATCACGATGAACAATATTTGCATTGTGCAAACAATTAACCGCACTAGAAATTTCTTTTGCCATCCTAATTTTAGTTATCCAATCTAATTCTAAGAAATGATTACGTAAATAGGTGCGAAGGTCGCTGTTATTAGCGAATTGAATAACCATATAGTATGCTTTTTTTTTCGGATCTAATTTAATCGAAATAATTAGTTAGATGATAGTTATCTATTTTATAATATAAAATTAATATACCTTGTGTGATTCCGAAAAATCGTACTATATTATCATGATGTGCAACTCTAGTAATATTTTTAACCTTATAATGAATTATAAAATGTAATAGTAAACCAGTAAATACGTAAATAAAGACGTAAATAAGAATATAATGATAATATAAATATAAAATACTTCTTTGATAAAGATGTTCAACGAATCATTATCATCGCGATATAAACTCTTTAAAGCTATAGTCTTTTCAATATCTCTTGAATAAGCACTATATACAGTGCCAGACCCTCCTCTACCTATTTCTTCCCAATTCTGAAAAGAATCATACTCAAATAATGTAATGTATTCTTGTTCGATAGCAACATTAAACCAATTTGACATATTTAGCGTATCGAATATTAATTCTTTGTCCTCAAAAGGCTAAAATATGGGCATATAGTAAAGTAATACGATAATGATAATATAAATTAAGCATGCGGTTTTCCAAAAGAAACATCATTAAAATAAGCTATTTACCTATAACATCCAAACATAAAAAAAAAACTATGTTGGTGTTCCAACCAGTGTTTAAAATTCAGGTCAAAACTATACAGTATGCGTAACGTTGGGTGTCCAATGTACTATGTAGATCAAACATATGTATAGTCCCATAGGAACATCGAATATATAAAATTTTGTGTAACAATCACGAAAATCTATAGTAAAATACCCGATTTTTTAACAAA